AGTGTAACGTAAAATGGAATTGTGCAGGTCAAGTCTTTGTCGTCGATTACTGTAGCGCGATTTTTTCTTTTCCTTCCGCGCTTTTTCTTCCTTTTTTTTTTTTTTCTTTGCCTTTTTGTTGATTTTTTCTTTTTTGTTTTTCAATCGCGAGGCAACAGCGGATGAGCGTTGTCTTTCAACAGCGTTGAAAGAGAGTAAATTACGAATGAACGACGCGCTGTTCTCTCCACGAAGAGAAAACGCGATAAATATGGCCGGAATATAGCTTATACCGTGCTCGGATGAACAAGACGGAACACGGTTATTATTGAAAAGTTTTTCAAATATATTCCGCCGAGTTTATCGTTTATTTACTGCCACCGACGCGAATTAATGTTCACTCGTGAAAAATTCAAAGGTTTTCGAGGACCGGCCGGTTTATTCCAGGCGTGTAACAATATATGTGGTCCGTTCGGAGAAAAATAGAGCTCGGGGAATGTCAAAAATATAGGCAATTTTCAAGTTTTCAATTCCCAGCCTAGCCAGTTTCCACGCGAAACTTTACCGTGTCCAATTTCATTCGGAAAACTGGAAATTCGAGCGAACAATAGTTTCTTTTTCTCGTTATTGGTAGGTTCAGCGAAACGTGCTGCTATCAAAAACTGGTTAATTTGAGAAAACAATCCCCATATCAAGACACAAGGGGAGGAAAGTAGAAAGGAAAGGGGGAAACCTGTTTAAAGCCATTCATCTTGGAATATTCGACTATCCTGCTTGAAATTACCCCAAAACGGAGTGGAAAATACAGCTCGTAATTATACCAGGGACGCATTAAATTCGCCGGGAAGCTCGGGATGGAGAGGACAAACCGCAAAATTCGCGCGAGTAGAAGGGCCGTCGATAACGGCCGTTCGTGACGAGCATTGAATTGCGTGCAGCATATTTCGAGCGGGAAAAATAGGCGGGAAAGAGGCAGGACCGCGGTGTATATCCGGTGGCTGATTATCTGCCGTGCTGCAGCTGGTTTTTCGAACGAGAAACGAAAATTAATCATATTTACAGCTGCCCGCGTCCCTCTGCCTCCCTCTTCCGCCCTCACCGTAAATAATGCGCGCCTGGAATTCACGGGGTTGCTCAATTTATGCGGCGGAAAACGCGGCAGAGAGAGAGCCGTTCGAGTCCTTGTACTACGCGGGATCGATCTGGCCGGCCGATAAGGCTCCCTTTTTCGCCGCGATCCATCATGACACCGTTGTTTGGCCCGTCTGCCAGGTCAACAAATCACGAGTCACTTTCGGGCCGGGGTGTAGGCGCGTGTTCGACCGTGTCCGATTCGTTTCGCCCTTCTTCTCCGTCTCGTTTCGAGTACATTAGCGTGTCGAAGGGGGTGAGTCCGAGTGGATAGAGGGGACGAAGACAGTGACAGGTCAGGGATGAAGAACGAGGCCGGTGGTTTGTTGCTGGAACGTATTGATTGAGCCGCGTTAATCCTTCGCGCTCTGGCTAGTTTCGCGCGCGCACGCTGGGAATTTATGACGGATCGATATCGGCGCGTAGGTGACAAAAGTGATTCATCGATCGACAGGCAAGTTTACAAGCTTTGTTCTACGTTACCCATTGTCGCGTTCGGCCGTGAAATCGCTTGCATTTCGGCGTAGAACAGATTGTAAAAGTTGCACGGGTATCCGAAGTTGAATGGACTCGCTGTCTGACCGATGACGGGTTCATTCTACTGCCATCAATTCGGCTCTGGTCTTTCTGGGACCGATGAACCCCCATTCGTTTCCCGTGATATCGGAATGGAGTCGTGGAGTGAAAAACACGTGGTCACTGAATAAATTACGGGGAATTCGTGTAACTTAGAGCTACGTCGCCGCAATTTCGCGCATTTCTCCTTCCCCGCGTTTGCTGGATATTTCGATGCAGAACGTTAGAGGTTCGATTCTGCATTCGATGCAACGAGGCTGCTCTTAAATTCCTGGCGAATATCGGCCGTCGATAACGACGAACGGTACGCGACAGGAACTCCTCGAGCTTTGCATAAACAGCGAAACAGGCTGCTTCCGGTCATCCATCAAACCGCGGGTGCACGAGGCGCACGCAGGGTCAACAAATCACCAGACACTTTGCGCTATTTATCCGCGAAATTTCACGGTGAACGGCGCATCGGTAAATATTGATCGAGAATAACTTTGAGAAACGAGGAACCGGCAGGTGAGAGAGTAGGCACTCCGGCAATCGCGACCTTCTTTCGATTAACGCGATCCTTCCCCGAGATATCTTTTATGTCAACTCGCGTTCGGGTTTAAACGATCCCCGAGTTATCGTGGAAGCTCGAGTCGGTGTTTGATCGACGATAAATCAATGAGAAAGACGGTGGATACGTCAACAAGGAGAGAAAGCAGAAAGGAAAAAGCTCGATGGAAATGGTAAGCTTTAAATAGCAAATATTTGACGGGAAGCGTGTCTAGGAAACGCTTTCTATCTACGCTCAAACGAACCAAAAATAAAAGAAATAAAAATATTAAAAAAGGGAAAAAGAGAAGAAAGGAAAAAATACGTAGCCGCGATACTCGGACCAGTGAAATATTCATGGACGAGCGCAGGTGCGGCCCGATAACGTTAACCAAAAAATCGTCGAAATAGATGAGCAATGGCGACTTTATTGGTCCATTGATATAATAGCGTCAAGCCCGTGAAACGTGAAACACCAATAACTTGAGATAAACACTCGTCGTTTCTTCCCCGCGTGATCGATGATTTGCCAACAAACGTTGCAAGCTCTGATCCACGCTAATCACAGCCCGAGCCTAACGATTCACGGTAAGCTCGCTGGCTTTTATCGGCGAGGCGTAAATTCGTCGGAATCGGATCGATGAGACTCCTCGATTAACTCTCATTTAACTACAAAATTAACCTCGGGGACCGCCGATTCCACGAGGACGAATATTAATTTTCCATTGTACCGCGCTACGTCTGATCTCTGAGCAAACAGCTCATCCCTGCTCTCTTTCTCACTCTCTGCTAAGAAGAAACAGAGAAAAGGAAACGGGAGAGAAAATCGAACGATCCAGTCGAACGGAAAACGTTAGTCGGAGTGACTGTCTGTCCCCGATCCCCTCTCCTAGAGAGGATTTAGAAATAACAGGCCGACATTCGACAGCTAGAGATGGAACGATATCAGCGAACACGGCGCCAAGCGACCCTTGATCTAACGATTGTCTACGAGCAAAAGGAATCAAGCAGACAGGATTATTGCCGGCGCGCGACGATCCGTGGCTCCCCGTCAAATGATTATGATCATCGCTTAGCATAAATTCCCCGCTTTCTTCTGTACCCACGGCCGTCCTTGCCGACCAACCCTCCGGAGGTTTCACCTCTCTAACTGCGCGCGATCGATTTTCAAAACTTTTACATCCAGCAGCCAGCATCCGTCCATGGCCTGCACCCGCTGCAGGACGCGGGACAAGAAGATTTTATCGAGACCGTGCTGACTACGGAGAATCGTTGATTACCGCTTTCAGCAACGTTTCGCGACTCGCCGTGCGGTAATGGACCGATGAAATGGAAAAATGCGCGCGATCCGCGGAAACGGGAATTTAACAACCCCCCGGCGGAGGAAGGGGGGGAAAGCTTGTCGAGGAACCGTGTCGGTGGCAACGGGAATCGTTGCTTGTAATTAATCGCAGCCGAGAGGGGGACGAAGAGGGGCACGAAGTTGAGTGCACTGGCAAAATGGAAAATTAAGATAACAGCTGGTTTCCTGGCCAGACGGAGGGAACGCGGAGGCACACGAATGTCTACCCGCGAACACAATCGCGCAGATACGAAGGAAACACGCTGACGTCTGTGTCCCGCCCTGAACCCGTGTCTCTGCTTGTTTTGATCGATTGTCAGGAGCACGCCAGAGTGCAGAGAGTCGTAGAAGCACGCGGCGTCTACGGTTTTCGTGCCGGCAGGCTCCTAATCGCGACCGCTGTATTTATTGGTCGGTCGTTATTGCGGAAACGACGATTTGTCATGGGCCTGGTATTAATTACGCTAGAAGGGGGCAACTTTGTGCAGATAGCGGAGCAAAGGGCCACGACGTCGCCGTTGTCGTCGGAGATGCGGGACAACCTGTTTGAATAGAAATTGGCCTACGAAACGAGAACCGGGGACTCGGGCAAACTCGCGAAAATTAATCGTCGCGCACACAGTCTCTGGCGCGTGTATCGCGAAACACGTGGCAGTTCCGATCGAAACTCCTTGTCTCGTTGAATTACAGGTCCCTTTGGCGTGTTTCATAATTCAGAGGGAACCCCGGGGATGGAACTCTGGTCGATTGTTTCTCCGTTTGTAACATTTGCCGAGACATCGTCGAGGAACGGTTAGGACCCCGACGGGTGTCCCTGGGTCTTGCGCAGGCTGCGAGATAGGTAGGTTGAAGTTTATTAGTTTGAGTTAGATAACGTTCCTTGGTAACGCGGACGGGGCACGGTGACACAGTGACAGAGATAGGAATTTAAACGGACGTTGCCGTTCCAGGGGCGAAACGCAGCGCCGATACGAGATATTTTCCGTAATGGCGATAAACGCGTTTGCACCGGCAGATTATTCGATGGCCCGGAGAAAGCGATGTTCGCGAATGGAAAATTTTTTCCACCGACGTCGTTACGATGCGAGATAAAACCCGGGTAGTTTAGGATTTTGAAAAGTGCCGGAAATCTTTACTGGCGTTGGTTAACGAAACGCTGGCCGGGGGACAGTTTCAGTCATGGTATTTTTACGCGGCACCTTTACGATGCAACTTTTCATATCGGCTATAAAGCTCCCGCTGGTTTTATAAAATACGAGCCACGAGACTGAATTTTTTCTCCTCTCTTCTCTCTCTCTCTCTTTCGCTCTAGCTCGTCCGTCCCTGTTTCTCGTCTCTCCCGATAGAGCTGCTAAACGCGTCGCTTGTTCGCGCTGTCTTTCGGAATAACGATTGTCAAAGGATAACCTTTGTTTCGTTTGGCAAGGAAATTACTGCGGCTTACCACTTTATCTCCCAAATTTCGTACTCGGCATGGCAGGTACACGGTCTGTCCGACGAATGCGCTGACGTTCGCCGCTGTCGGCTCAAAAACGGGCAAATCCCCTTCGGCTGAGTCATTATTGGCATCGTTTGGCCGGCGTTGCGAGCCCTCCTTCGATATTTCACGAAGTTGCACAGGCGCTGGAAGCAAAACAATTGGTTCACGGAATTATGTTTCGCCGAAGGTATTTCGTTCCTCTAATTGTTTCGAGTGGGAAGTTCGTTAATCGATGCAGTCGGAAAATACGCTGCGCCGAGATCGTTATAGGAAACGAGCAAAATTTTCTCCCGAGATCCATTAATCTCGAAATGCTCGCGATCGTGTACGTTTTTACCACCGACGAAGGAATTTTTCTAACGGGCACTCGACTTCGAAATCTCGATCTCGCGGGAAGAGAAAGGTTCGCAAGTATTCTAGCAGACTCGTAGGATTCTCGCGAACGTTCGAGCGAGCGATGAAAGAAAAATCACGTGGATCTTGTTTGCTCATTAAACGTTTCACTTTCCGTGGATTAATCTCCGTTAATCTTGGGAACAGATCGAGCTATCCCCTTCTGAATCTCCACCGTCCGTTTCTTCCTTCTCTCCCGACTTCTTCCCTTCACAGATGGATGTCTAGACACGTGTTACCGTAATCTGCCGGAGTTTCCTCGAATGAACTCGACTGTAGGAATGGCCGCGGGGTCTATTCGGACGGTTGCCTCGTTAGTACACCGACGAACAGTCTCTCCATCATCATCAATCATCATCGGAATGACGCGCGGCGATACCTATTCGCAATTGACAGGGATTGATCCGAGGGGAAAGTTGGAAATAAAAGCACGGTTGATCGCGCGACTTTGCCGACATGCCGTGGCTATCCGCAACAGTGGAACGACCTTGCTTTACCTCACAAGCCATCTCGAAGCTTGTCTCGACGAGCAGAAATCGCTCGATAGTTGGTTTCGTACGGGATTTCCCAAGGATTCTCGACGAGACGACGCAGAGGGTTGAACCGAATACGCGAACGCGAATGCCAGCGGACGTTTATTATTTCCGCGAGATAAAAGAGGGGAATTTCCATCTGGTTTTCCTCGTATTCCGCGGAGCGAGTCACATTCGATGCGAGCGAATCGGCGGTTTTGAAAATTGACAAAAACGAGGAAGAAAGGGAAATAACGAGAAGAGAAAAGGAGGATGGGGAATACTAACTGTATTTCCTTGCTCTCCATCCCTGTTCTTTCTATTCCCCTTTTACAGCCACTGGATCACGGGCACGCTTTTTCCTCCGGGCCGAAAACACAGCCGGGTAAATTTAATTGGACCAGAGCCGAGCGCGTAGCTTGACGCGGTGAAAGAAAGGAGAGAGGCATCGCGATGCTCGAGGTGCAAAAGTGCTATCGAATTATCAAACGAAGCCAACCAGAACGAGCCGCTGACATCGTAACTCGGTGTGCTGACCGTTTCGCATAAACAACGTCCTACCCAAACACACAGCGGTATCCTCTTTCCAGCGCGGCGCGACCCCGCTGCTACCCCTCCGGTTTCGAGGTCTCACGTTAACGTGTCACACAGGCCGTTCTTCCCCAGAGGGGTGAAGCTCAGAGCACAGATAACGCCCGTATACACAGCAGCACGCTGGCGTCATACAAATGACCAACTTCCCCTCGACTGGCTTCCAACGTCGCTTGTACCCCAACCCACGGGCCCTGCACTGATAACTGCAGATTAATTGACAAAAAGCAGAGCTCGCGAATACGGATGATATACACGGGTCGAAAATCGTCGTTGCAGCAGCGGGATTTAGTTACACGTCGACCTTTACCTCTTTATTCCACGCCGGCAAGCGGGGCCTGGGGATCGGTGCTCGTGACGAATTTATGGCCGACGAAGGGGAACGACTGTTGACAGAACCAAGTCAAAGGGGCAGACAGAAAAAGGTTAACGCTGTCGGGGCACCGGACGAATTTATATCGTCTTTGCATAACCGAACGTTGCACCATGAAAAATTAACGAATTAAAGGGTAACGTTCTCCGCGGAGAGGGCTGCTCGTACACGTAATTCGCTACTTACGGATAAAACGGGTATACACGTTTCTCGCTTAACGAGCATATTTCGCGAGAACCGTGTGTACCCGTGTACATACGTCCGAGAGGATTTTTGGCCGACAATTTTCCCCAGCGTACGCTGTCGTTCGTAAGCTCCAACGCGTTTATGGTTGTATTATACGTTTGATCTTTCGTTCCACGTAATACGAACATTCCCATCGTATCGGCTTATACTCGAATCCTTCATCCTTTTTTATATCGATCTCTGTGTGTATATCTCCGATAAAGTAACTTTGCTTAAAACGCTTGAATGGCGAGAAAGGAAATCCGAATCTAAATATTTAACGAAGCTATTGAGCCGCGAAATAGAAATGGACGATCACCTCGGGGTTTTTATCCCTCGCTATGACAACGGTCCAGCAAAAACGCGTCAACGATAGAAACTAAAGCCGAAATCCGATTAAATACCCCGCATACGTGCTTGTCATCTTAATCAGCGACCTTAAAAGAATCTTGGTGGAACGCGAGCGAACGTGCCAACCGTTTTATCCGGACCGCACCGTCGCGCGGCTCGCCGTCTGACCAAGCACGGACTGTTTCTACTTTTTCACCGCGCAGCCCGGCCTCGCTCGCGGGTAAAAGCCCGCAGACGACTCATTCGTTCGCCACTCTTTCTTTCCACCCCCGTAGGTCTTCCCCCTGCCATCCCCGCCGCTTTATAATATTATAAACCGCATGCAGAGGCCCGTAAACCGGGGATGTTTTCTTTCTGTCTCTTGCTGGCCCGCGGGCTATTTTTCTTTCGACGATCGTCGGGATATTTTATGGTCGGCATCGAGGGAGATTCTCCTCTCGTTTTTTCCACCCTCCCTCTTCTTCTCTCTCTTCGTTTCCTCTTCACCCTCGAGTCTTTTCCTTTTAGAGAATCATGCCGCGAGCGAAACGCCGCCAACCCTCTCGAACGTGCGTCGATTCCATTTTCATTGACGCTAAAGGCTCGGCTAGACGAATTGTACCGTGAAGCCACGAGCTTATTAAGCCGGCAATTAAATCCCAATGACGACTCCGCTGTGTTCCACCACGTCGCGGAGACTTTTGAAAACGTCGTGGTAATATTCTCGAAGTCTCTTGGAGTTTTGGGGATACATATTTCATGCTGCACCCATTAACGCGAAACTGGAGTGGACTTATCCGCTGAATCTGTTATATGGTAAACTTACTACGGAACACCATGGCGGTTTAATTGGTTCATCGATGAATTAAGCATCGAGAACGGGATACAGAAGATGGTACTTAAACGACAAGCTACTTTACCTCTTAACTTTTCACGGCAAACTATCGATCTGATACGAACGTAACTCGACCCAAATACGAAGCATGCTTTAAACATTCATTACCGAGCACTCTCGCCGATACGCAGCTTCTAAATGAACGTTTCCTCGAGGTTTCTTCGAGGAATCTTCGCCAGTCGAAGCTCTTTCGTTCCCGTTCGTCGAGACGCGATTTATTTTCAGGATTTCAGTCCTCGATCCCTGTGTCACGAGACTATATCTTAGAGTGACGTGGAATAAGAAAAACGAACGATGGTTCAACATCAGCGACGCGGATGATAAAGTTGTCTGTACAAGAAGCAGCTCTTTCTCGTCCGCGTGCAACGCGAGGGATTCGATAAAAAGCGGCGAATTTCCGTCGGAGTGTTCTCGATAAGCATGCGCCACCGAATACAAATATCGCTTTCGAATGGAGCAGCGACTAGGACGCGTATGTACGCCGGCATTAAGGCGAATTACTACGTGCTAAATCTCGCGGCGTTACGCTATCTTTCGTAGGCACTCCACTCTTCGCCGCGAAATCTCTCACCCTCTATTACCACCGGAGCTTTTTTCCCCGGCAAACGACACTTTTATTTCCCGAAAGCATTATCCCGATTCTCCCCCTTTGCATCGGCTCCCGAGACCGTACCCCGCGGCACACCCCGCCGCTGCTGATCCTTCAAGAACGCGTGTCGTTCGCGTAAAACGATGACGAACGACTCCTAAATCCGCACTGGAGGCAAACGAAGGAGGATTATAGCGACCCTCTTTCCCACCAAGGGGCACTTGCACACCGCGAATAACTGTATTTACGAGTTCGAACTTCGGTGAAACGCGATTCCATCGAATGCGATATTGAATCTACGCGAAGGTATGGAAGGTAGACCTTGAAAGGAAGTTCTAGGCGTCGGTGGTGACGAAGCAAGGTCCACTCGCGCGGTTATTCCTAGTTTGGACCCACCTGCGACCACTTTCGCAGATGACACGAGCTTCCTAGCTGCTAGTGTCATAAATCTCCATTGGAAGAAGCACTCGTCGAAAAGGCAGGATATCGGGTAGTCGAAACAGTCAAAGCCGCGAAAGTGGGAGCGGGGGCGAGTTGCTGGCTATAAAACTACAAAGCAAACCAGTCGTTAATCTTACGTCTGCCTCGAATCGTGCGGCGGTCTACCGCTCTTAAACCAGACCAACCCCACGCTCTAGCTACGTTCCGCCGCTCGAAACAATGAGGACGAAACTTTACGGTCGCGCTAGGCCACCGGCAGAATCATATATTTTCGCCGCAATGCTCGTAAAGTGCGGTCGCTCTTGCCAGTCGGCACATCGCTGCGGCCCGGTTGCGTGGCTGTTGTACACGCGACAGCGCCGTGTCAGCGTGTCACTGGCCGCTGCCTCCGCGTAATTTCCGCGAAAGTGGACATTTCCTTGTCGAGCGTGTACACTTTCCTGGGTGCCTTCGCGGACAGTTCGCTGCGCCACGGGCAACAGAATCGATGGTAACGTTCCAGACTTTTGCTTTATCGTTCCTTTGTGGGTCAGCGGCCCAGACGCGTTGGGGTGCCGGTTTAGGGTCACGTGGATTGATGGCTTTTACCGTTCGTGGGTGAATAGAGAGCGAAACTTTTGTTCCGTTCGATCAAAGATTCGGTAACGGTTAATTTTCCACGTGGTTGTTTTTCATCTCGAACCAGGAATTTATTTTTCCTATTTGTTTCTTTTTTTTTTTTTTTCTTTTTTTCTTTGCTAATAAGATTACTGTTTTAATCAAGTTTGATGGAATAACGGGTATAAAAGGATTTT